GCTGTCTGGTAGCGGCAGCCTATGGCGACAGCGGGCTGCTGTGACAGCAAATCCCATAATGCTTTACACCCCTAACGAGGACGTAGGAGGACTTAGGTAAACATATCACCAGAATGATTGACAATTAGGAGGACCACTTATTTAGATGATCGACCTGGAAATAAAAGACCGTCCTCTATACCTCTCAGAATAAAAAGGGGTGCCCTCTAGTGGATGGGAGAAGCATTACAACACTGAAAGTAATTCCTTTAAAGCAGATGTTAAAAGTTAATCTAATGAACCATCATCTTATTTCTCAGTTTGTGTCACAGATTCTTATTTTAATAAGTGATCGCTTCTACTTTAGAGAACGTCCAGCGAAACTTTTTTTCTCCTCTAAATCAGTGAATCTAGATAAAATGGATCATCTGCAGTGAAGAAGGGATTGTTCTGCTTATTTTCATCAAGCTCACACATTTTTTGTGTTTAAGTATAAAGATTTGAAGATTTGAGGTTTAACCACTTGTCTGCGTGTCACCCCCGGCTGCAGCTCTCTAACGTCATCAGCCAGCTCCACCGCTTCCTCCCAGAGCGGCGGCCTGGGAACCAACCGCAAGAAGAGCATCCCGCTCTCCATCCGCAACCTGAAGAGGAAGCACAAAAAGAAGAGGACCAAGTTCTCGCGCGAGGTCAAGATCGGAGACCGGTGGGTTACAGTGGATCTTTATCCTCAACTTTATTTCTCAGGCCACAGTTGGGATCCCATCCAAGCCGAAACAGGATGGAGGCAGTTTGGTTACATTACTGATGCAAAGAAGAGGGTTTGGTTATTTGAAATTTGAAAAAAATGTGGAATCTGGAAATGAGGAAAAAATGTTTTAGGAGCAACTTAGCTAGTATTTTTCTACCCATTTCTCTATTATAAGAGAGATACTGAGATATTGATCTCATAATTATGAGATAAGCCGTCTGATTATTTTTCTTTGGTGAATGCAATATGCTTCCATATAAAACAGTCAAGTTACAATTAAAAACCTTTTTAAGAGAGGTTTTTCAAAGTTTTATATCTGGATTGATTTGTTTTCTCCATATTTTCATGTACAGATGGAAATATGAAAACACTTGGAACAATAATGGAACAAAAATTCACTCGATAAACCAGCCAATCTCTGGGTTCTGGTGTTAAATGGCTAAAATTAAAGCATTAACAACAGAAATCCAGGTTTTTGTTACGCCCTCATTGTGTGTAGCTGTCAGGATGATGATGATGATGATGATGATGATGTAGCAGTAATCGGCCTGATGTTGATGTCTGAACACGCAGGGTTAAATGTCCAGTGGCTACAGTGCGTTTTTACTGGCAGCATTCCTCACTGTATGGCGACGTTTCAGGAGGAGTGAGGATGATCAAAGCTTATTGGATGTTTTCAAATCCAACCTCTTTGCTGCTTTCTTGTTGCGTCAGGGTGGCGGTGGAAGTTGTATTGACGAAGACCACAGCCGACGTGATGTGGAAGGACGGGCGAGTGGAGCGGGGAATCAGGTCAAACGACCTCATCCCCATTCAACACCTGGACAGCCACGAGTTTTGCCCCGGAGACTTTGTGGTGGACAAACGACGTGAGTTTGATTTCTCTTCTTCACTAACTTTTGATTTTTCTGCTTTGCTGCTTTTGATTTCGGTTCATTTTTCCGACTGTCAGTCGGTCAGGGGCCGGAATGGTCACAGCGAGGTAAAGAGACAAGGAACCTCAATGTTTGAGGGACATTTCCAATCTTTGTGGATCACTAGTGGAAAAAAAAAAGATATATTTGGAGATTAAGAGGAAAATGAGGAAATCGAGTTTTGCTGGTGCTGACATCTAACCACCAAACAATATTCATTACCGGTTAGCAAGGAATAATCAATGGATCATTATTGATACCTAAAACTAATACTTAACCCTATAATGCCAAATGTATCATATTTGATACATACGGTTTCTGAAATGTTTTGC